GGTCTCTTCCATATATTCTCCCCCCAATAATCGCTTCGATTATTTCAGAAGAGGTCGCCAAAATGGGCTCGTCCATCCTCACTAGTTCCAACCCCCTCCCGAGCTACCACTACCCTCAGAAGCTATTTTCATAAATGAAAAGTTTCAAATACTTACTGAAACTTTCGAAATGGAGTGTCCCACAGCCAGAAATGGTCAAGAAACAACGCAAGTCGCTGGAAACTGGGATTTCTTGCCGAAAAGTGCTCAAAGAACATCAGAAAGTGCAAAGATTTTGAGAGCAAATGGGGTTTTTAATTTCGCAAAAGTGAAAAGCTCCAAAAATGCTCAAGTCCGCCTTTTATAGAGCATCCCAATTGATCTCTACCGTTGAATTCAAATGAAATCAATCTAGGCCATCCGTCGCATCATCAATCTAGGCCGTTGAAATGAAACACCAGATTTGATCTACGCCTAAGATCTAGCTGTGACCTTCACGCTTACGTGTTGCCTCAATCACCATCAGCCGTCTACAATAAGTAGTCGCAGTAGCCTTTTCTGAGAATGGGCATCATACCCAACTGTCACCTTGAAAATTCGCGACAGCTGTCAAATCATTTAACGTCAGAGATGCCCACCTTAGATTGAGCTCCTCACTCAGCTTTACAAAGTTTAGACGCACCTGACACGAAGTCCCCTGTGGGTCATCGCCTCGGTAGCTGCGTTCCCTCCTAAGCTTTACAAAGCTTTAGTAATCTCCTAACGCGTTGTCCCCTGTGGGTCAGCGCACTGGTAATAGATGAGCTCCTCACTCAGCTTTACAAAATTTAGATGCACCTGACGTGAAGTCCCCTATGGGTCATCATCTCGGTAGCTGCATTCCCTCCTAAGTTTTACAAAGTTTTAGCCATCTCCCAACGCGTCGTCCCCTATGGGTCAGTGTACCGGTGGTAGATGAGCTCCTCACTCAACTTTACAAAGCTTAGACGCATCTGATGCGAAATCCCTTGTGGGTCATCACCTCGGTAGCTGCGTTCCTTCCTAAACTTTACAAAGCTTTAGCTATCTCCCAACGCGTTGTCCCCTGTGGGTCAGCACACCGGTGGTGGATGAGCTCCTCACTCAACTTTACAAAGTTTAGACGCACCTGATGCGGAGTCCCCTGTAGGTCATCGCCTAAGTAACTGTGTTCGCTCCTCACTCAACTTTACAAAACTTAGACGCACTTGACACGATCCCCTGTGGGTCATCGCCTCGATAGTTGTGTTCCCTTTTAAGCTTTACAAAGCTTATCCATCTCTCAACGCATCGTCCCTTGTGGGTCAGCGCACAGGTGGTAGATGAGCTCCTTCGCTTTACAAAGTTTAGATGCACCTGATGCGGAGTCCCCTGTGGGTCATTGCCTCGATAGTTGCGTTTCCTTCTAAGCTTTACAAAATTTCGACAATCTCCCAGCACATCGTCCAATTGGCAGCACATCGGTCTCAAATAAGTCCTTTCCTTACACAGTAATGAATCTTTAGCGCGTCTGCCTAAGGTCAACGCTTCGGCGAATACAGAAAACCGACCCATAAGTTATCACAAATCATGGCCCCTATCCCGAGAAGGACATACCCAATCGGGAAAACAAGTTCACCCATGATATAAATATTCATGCCTGAATTTGGGGAGACCACTGTTACGCCCCTATCTGAATCACTTCGAAAGTCTACCACCGCGTTGTACGAGGTGTTCAACACCCATTCGAAGTGATTTCGAAGTGATTTCACCATGTTGTCGATCTGCTAATGCACTGCGAGGTACAGATAATCTACTGAACCGACCGAAGCGCCCTTGCCCCTGAAGCCGAGGCACAGTACATTCCGAGGTTCTCTGTCAGACGATCCGTCGCCAATTTCAGAAAGAGATCTATGTCAAGATCCTTTCTGCCCACAAGATTTAATTGATTTAACGTCTCCATGAGCCTAGTTGATGTGACGTGAAAACTTTATGTTAACTCAACTCGGGATAAGTAATTACTCGCCCATTCTGTAGACGCGGCTGATTGAGGCCTATGAGTTGACGCCTCACACCGTCAGATGCATACATGCGTCCCACATCCAACGATTCTCCTTACCTATAAATATCCAAGGTTTGACAAGAGATAGAGGTAATGAAACTCTTACAACATAGTTTTCCGTAACAAGCAAATATATATTCTCCTCTCTACTATTTTGCACAACCTTGATATTGTTCCGATCACCTGAGGCTAATTTGACCGTCGGAGTGTATGCGGCTGCCCCCACTCCAACTGGTTTCGACCGTGTGCATCTGACCATGCGCTGACTGTGTGCAGGGAGAAATACGTGGAGTAGCTATCGATTGGCCACGTGGAGGGCCCAATTTGCGAGGTCAACAAGATTTTTTTTTAATCCAATATCTAATAAATATACTTGTTAATGACCAAATGGAGGCGATGCTTTTCCTGTGAACAACATTAGCTAAAACATTAAACTACTAAAAACAAGATATAGTAATATATGTTTACATTTGGTCTTCCACAAATTAAAATGACAATTATGAACAAATTCAAAAATCTCGTATCACCAATAACCATTTTTCCTAGTCAATATTTGAAAGGAGTTTCATAATGATAACTTGATACCTAAAATGCAAGAAATTCAAGATACATTGTATAATTTAGACAAACCTTCATATCATTTTGCATTATTTTAAGTCTATCCTAATAGGTCTAGAATAAGTGCTAATTTTTTTACTCAACTATTTCAAGAAATTTCATTTGATGTCATCTTAACATATTTTTTTCTTAAAATATATGAAGAATTTCAACTTCTGGTCGGTTAATTGAATCTGCCCACTTTCTCACTGAATGAGTAACCTCACAATTTTTATTTGATTTATCTCAATGTCATATACTAATATATAAATACAAGAAACTCTGTAGTTAGTCTAGCCCATGGCCCTCCAAAAATGAAAATAGATCATTTATAATTAATATGTTAATTATCATTGTTGGGTATCTTAGATTAGATAGGACATTAATTTTTTAACATGAAAAGTCTCTTCAAAATTGCAAATAAAGGCTAGCAAGTTTTAACCCCAACCTTGAGAGTTTCCACCTCATCGTCCCTGGGGCATCATGAGAGAGGTAAATCGCTTGATGTGCCGCAGCAGACTAGATAACAAGAGCTCGCTCGTACACTGGTGCTCACAAAAAGTCCAATTTCATATATCAGAAATCGAACATTCACACTACAACTACCAGCAAGGTTGAGACTACCTCACTTCTGTTTATTGCACCACTGAATTATGCTCCGAGTGCGGCTGACATGTTTTATCTAGGTTATTTTTAAAGGTAAAAGGTGTCCGGTTTGAATGATTTGACATGTTTTTAATGAAAATTCTATACAAATTTACTAAAGGAAAAAATTAAAATCAAAGTCAATTTTAGATAATTCCGCCAGCAGTCAAGGATTAAAAAAAAAAAAAAGAAAAGAAAAAGAAGGAGTATCTAGCCTTTAATCCGATTTTATTTTTTTATTCAGCTTTGACTAGAAAAGGACTCATTTGATTGTAACACGTGTATCTGTAGTGGGCCCAGAAGGCCTCATAATCTGAACATAATCTTATTTGATCCTTTAAAAATTGACACGGCGGGATTGTTTTGGTGGACTTGAGAAACAAGTTGACTCCTTTACGTTCAAGCGGAGATGGGATTGAGTCGTGGATTGTGCCGTAAATCGTAATACATTGAATAATAATTAATTTTATACACTATTGAGTATTGCGCCGTTCACTTTACAAAAAAAAAAATTTGGGATTACGTTTGTTTTTCATTTTTGTAAGAATGAGAATGAAAAATATAACCGTCATGATCCCAAGCAATAGATAAAAATTCAAATTTGATAGATTGATATGATGTATAACTATCATATTTTTCATTTTAATGGGGAAAGAAGGAAAACCAAACAGGGACTAAGAGTGCGAGGTGTCCATTCGTGAATCACAATTATACAACCGCCTTCTACAAAGCGTAAATGTCCCTGTTTGATTTTAATAAAAATTGATGAAATGTGTAATTGATAAGTTAATAAAAATTGTGAATCACATGAAATTTATGATTAAAAATGAATTTTTTTTAAAAATGTAACGTCAAAAAGGGCCTAAATGGTGCATAGCTATAACTAGACCTAATTTTTCGGGTCAAGATGTATTTGGACAATATATATTATTAACAATTATTAGCAACATTATTATATTGATTTGAAAGGTGCATTTACACTTTTCAGTAACATTTTTATAGGTTGAACTTGAAACTAATTACTTTTTCGTATAATTTTGAAAAAGAAATCAACTATGAAATAAAGGTATGATTCGTATTGTTAAGTAGTAATTTTCACTATACTCTATTAAACAAGTCACGCAAGTCACAAGTCGTGAAGGGCAAGTAATATAACCACCTTCTATTAAGCATAAACACTATCATTAGACTTACTTTTAGGGTAAGATTTATTTGGACCATATTGTTAATAATAGTTAACAACATCAATATATTGATTTGAAAGATGCATTTACGCTTCTTTGCCAAATTTAAAGATATAGCGGTTGAATTTCAAATTAATTATTTTTCTCTACAATTCTAAAAAGGAAAAACATCACATGATTCACTTTGTATAAATGAAAAATACTCGTCTGAGAAGGCCCCTTATGGGGTGGTCGAGATGATGGAGTAGGTGAGCGCTGGGGCCTTTGATTACGAGTTTGATTTCCTCTATCAATACTTTTTCGATCAAGTCTATCGCACCGAGCTTGTTTAGTGCGATTTACCTGACTGATGTGATTTGCAGGCTATTGCGTCAGCTCGAGAATTTATCCAGCGGGTGTGTGGCCTTAGGTTCCTTCATCATAAAAAAAAAATGAAAAAAAGAAAAGAAAAGAGAGAAACATAACAAGGCTTGTAATCTAATATAAATAGATCGCGACAGAGCAAAATTTAATAAAAAATGCAGTTTCACAGAGTCTTTTTATTGTAAATTTTATAATGACTTATTTGGTAAGACGAGTGAAATCTTACAAATTATAAAACGTGCTCGTGAATAATATTAGAGATGGAGACTCAATAGTTCACAAGCATAGTTATGGCGTCTCAGAAAATAAAGGATAAAAAACAAAAAGAAACAGAAACCAGCTGAGCTCCATTGATTCTACATACATCAAAGCTGCAAGCTTGGCTCCTTAAGAACAGAGTAATAATCTATCCCAAAGAAGGTAGAAGAAAAGATCAAAACGGTTGTTGAAAGAGGAACCCGGCCGGGGACTTTCCTCTGAATCTTCCATCCCTCTGGCCTATCCCTCCTCCATGAATAGTATATGTACTACACTTGATTTTCTAAGTCTTTCGAACTTATGAATGTCCCGTGGAACCCGTATGGGACTCTTGATGGAAGCTTTACTGTGGCTTCAAGTTGTAAAGTCATAGCATTTATGATCTGCAGCTCAGATTTCCATGTCTTTTCGTTGTGCACGAATGCAAGAATATACCCGTCGTCTTCACTGTCACTATCAGAAGTTAAATCCCTTGGTACGAAGAACGGCTCACCCCCGTATTTACAATCACCGTAGACGAATTTTTGAACTTCTCCGGTGGAGATGTCGACTTTGGCGAATCCCGAAACTTTAGGCCATGGTTCCCCAATTGCTAGATATGCGTACTTGGTTTTCCGACCAAGCCGGTTCCGGTTAACCATACCGGCTTCTAGGTTCATCTGTTCCGAGGATTGAATGATAGGCCGTCTTTTCGATTCACCGGTCTTCAAATTTAAGCGGATTTCCGACAAAACACTCTTCAAATTTTCGTCGCATTCGTTAAAGATCGAGTCCGGTGGAGTCATGCAAGAACCAATGACGACGATTTCGTTATTCTCCGGCTCCTCCCAAGCATTCCATAAGTGAAAACAAAAGGTTTCTGGGCAATCCACCCATGTAATATCCTTAGCATCTTTAGCATTCTTTAATAAAATCCCGAACCTTGATTTCTTGTTCTTGTCGTAAATCACCGGGGAGCCACCTTTGATCATTTCTTGAAGCTTGAACACCACTTGCTGATCGGGAATTACTACGTAATTCTCAGTGATCGCAAAATCATGCATCAAGGTCGGAACATCCAACGGAATTTCGACGTCCGGTGACTTCTTTCCATCGGCGGAGAACTTGAAGTACTTGAGATATGGTTTTTGAATGACGTCGTAGCTTAAAGCGAAGAGCTCGCCGGAGATGGGATCAATCTTGGGGTGTGCAATCATGGTGCTTTTCAATTGGTGATTAAAATCATATCGGCCTATTGTTTCGAGATCTCTGGAGGATTTGATCCGCACTTGATAGGGAAGATCATCTTCAGACATGGCTAAGAGTCTTTTATTGAAGTAAACTAAACCGGCGTTTGCTACTCCTGTGCCGTGGCTATGATCAATTAGCCCGAATAGGCCTCGGGCGTAGAAGAGAAGAAGCCGGCCGATGCCGGAGTGGCCATGGAGTTCTCCGATGGCTTTTGGGAACACTGGCCGCCCTAATTCACGTTCTTGAGTCAGCCTTTGTGTTTCTGTAAATCGGCAAGCGTAGCTCACTGAGTTGCCGCCGTCAATGGTCACTGCATGGATCATGCCGTCGCCGTCGAAAAGGTGGTGGCCAGAAACTGGCTCATGTAAAGGGTTGGCACCGTTTCGCACATAAACTCCATTAATGCATTCCGGGATTTTTCCAGTGACGATAAGTTCATGCTTCACCGGCTGTTCATCCACCGGAGCAAAATTTCCGGCGATTTGAACACGCGGGTCAGCAGTCTTAGGAAGTGGATGCTGTAGCTCACGTGACACCAAGGCAGCTTCCACCGCGTCTAAAGCCTTCGCTGCCGCTTTCTGTAATATATTCCACTGCAGCTCCAGCGGCGGCGGCGGCTGAGTTGTTATCTTCTTCGGCGGTGTAATTACATCTGTGTGAAAGGGTTGTTTTGGGAAAGTAAGCATTGAAGGAGAGTTCAAAGCACAGTGAGTCCTCTCTCTTTTTGTCATTTTAGTGGAAACATTTGAGTTTGTATGTGCAATAGAAGAAGCCATAATCTTGAGTTTGTTTATGTAAACGTTGTAATAATACAGGAGATAATAAGCGAATAATAAGTGCTTATTTTGGTTTTCTATCTACAGAATTTGAGAGAAGAATAAGTGAATTTTTGGGGGAGAAGGGAGAGGAGAAAATGGGATTTAAATAGAATATGTAACAAAGAATACAACTTTTTTTTTTTTTTTTTTTTTTTTTTTTTTGGGCCAGGGGTTGGGGGGGGGGGGGGGGGGGGGGGGGGGGGG